GGCCCTAGCGCCGCCGGGCGAGCCAGATGCTGCGACATGGGCGGGCTCCCTGTTCTGCCTGCGTCCTGCCGGCATCTTGCCTTCCATGTCCGCGATGTCCAGCGATGACCCTACATCTTTCTAAGGGTTGTTTCCCTCCATCCTCCCAGAAATTCCCTGATTGCTCTCAAATCCTTCCTCTTTGGCCCCTCTCATGACCTATCAGCAAATCCTATTTCACTTCCTAATTATATCCCAAATAGGCCCACTTGTTCTCACTTTTATAGCTCTCAGCCCAGAGTCCCCACCCACCACTCCTGGCCAGGACCACTGCAGCAACCTCCTCTCCGATCTTAGACTCCCACTCCTGACCCCTCCCATTACACCTCCATCAGCAGCCAGACCGTCTTCAAAGAATAATTCCTATTAGTCCTTCCCCAGAACCTGCCGGCGACTTCCCGTTTCTCTGAGATGACAAACTCCTTGCAGCAACCTACCAGAGCCTTCTGGTCCACCACCAACTCCTTAGTTCATCTTTCTTTTTAAAAAAATTTATTGGTATTGATCTCAGAGAGGAAAGGAGAGGGAGATAGAAACATCAATGATGAGACAGAGCCCACAACCCGGGCCTGTGCCTTGACTGGGAATTGAACCATAACCTCCTGGTTCATAGGTTGATGCTCAACCACTGAGCCACACGGTCGGGCCCCCAATTCATCTTTCAATGGCCCCAGAGCCTTTGAGCACTCTTTGCCCTGGAGAATAATGGTTAAGAACACAGGCTGGGGGGTGGGGGCAGACAATTCAGGTTAAAATCTAGGCGCGGCCACTGCCATTTCTTGTCTCCCAAAGAGCCCCTTAAAGTCCACAAGCCTTGGTTTCATCATTTGCAGAACAGGGATGCTCAACCATAGCTGCCTGCTTCACGGAGAAAATGCAAGAGCGTAGCACAAGGCTGGGCAGTGCTGATGATTCAATTAGTGGTCCTTCCTGAGAAAGCTGTCCCCGAACTAAATCAGAGTCCTTTATACATTTAGAACGTACCAGCCCATGTAATTACTGTTTAAATGTTTCCAAATGTGGTACCTGTGAGCTCTCAATAGATGTTTATTGAATGCATACATGAGCAGCCTCCTTCGTCCAGTGGTGTACCTACAGTGTGGACTTCGAGGGGCAAGGGGTAAGTTAGGGGAACAGACAAGGCAGAACCGCCCCCATGGCTTCTTATCCGCCTCCATTATCAGCCCCCTAACTTCAGCATACCGGACCCCACCGTCAGATAAACCAAAGGGAAGGATGCTCTCCGACCACCTGCAGGGTCAGTCTGCTCCTAACGAAGGTGACCAGGTCTGGGGGAGCAGAGTGGTAACTGCTCGGATGGGGGACGCTGGGAAGCTTGGAGGATGTCAGCGGGGAGCCAGAACATTAGGATTCCGGATGTATGGCTGGCTCAGGCCACACCTTCCGTTTCGAGGAGCTATGCATTAAGGGAAAAAAACCGGAGAACCATGAAACAGAGCGAGCAGGCAGTGGGAAGATTTTACTAACTGCACAACACACAACTTCTCCAGGCCTCCATGGGTGATGGCACCCCTTTCAGCCGTCAGGCCCCAGCAGTGCCCCTCGCTCCTGCACCCTTTCGGGATTCTCACAGGTAGGGAGGGCTGAGCTGTCGTGGGTGGGAGGGCTGGGGTCAGGGCGGGACTCAGGGTTGGGGTTGGGGCTGGGCACAGGATCTGGGTCCGAGCTGTGACCAGATCCGTGGCCAGGGCTGGCCACAAGGTCAGGATTGGCATCATGACCAGGCTTAGCATCAGAGGACTCGACAGGATCAGGGGTGAGGGTAGATTCAGAGCCAGGGCCAGGTTTGGGGCTGGGCTTGGGGAGGGAGCCCAGCACAGAGCATGGGTCCGTGCCCAGGCCAGAACCGAGCACAGGGGCAGCCTCAGGACCCGGGAGGGAGACCTGCCCAGGCCGCAACGTCGAAGCAGGACTAAGGCCCAGGCCAGTCGCAGCAGCTGTGGCTGCCGCGGCTGCCGCGGCTGGGCCCTGGTGCACCCTCTTGTGCTTGGTGAGGCTGGAAGCTTGGCCGAAGGCCTTGCCGCAGAGCTGGCAGCGGTAGGGGCGCTCTCCGGAATGCACGTGCAAGTGCTGCAGCAGCGCGGAGCTCTGCCCGAAGGCCTTGGAGCAGTGGGGACAGGCGTAAGGCCGCTCGCCAGTGTGGATGCGCAGGTGATGCTGCAGGTTGGAGCTCTGGCCAAACGCCTTGCCGCAGTGGGGACAGCGGTAGGGGCGCTCGGCCGTGTGCGTGCGCTGGTGCTGCAGCAGCGCCGAGCTCTGCCTGAAGGCCTTGCCGCACGCTGCGCACTGGTAGGGCCGTGCGCCCGTGTGGATGCCCCGGTGCTGGGCCAGCGTGGCGCCGTGGCTGAACGATTTGCCGCAGTCGGGGCAGCGGTAGGGCTTCTCGCCGCTGTGGGTGCGGCGGTGCTGGCTCAGCCCCGAACTGCGCCGGAAGGCTCGCCCACAATCGGGGCAGGAGAAGGGCCGGGGCGGGCTGGCGGGGGCCGGGGTCACCGCCGGGCTGGTGGCCAGGCCTTCCGGGGTGGCAGTAAGGCTGGAGGAGAGGGGGTCCAGGTCTGGGGCTTCTGGGGGACTGAGGGTGTCGCTGTTAGGGTCAAGGACCAGGGGCACAGGGCCAATGACGTCTGGATCGAGATCAAAACTTGAAGACATGGGGTCGAGATCTTGGGCATCCATGGCACCGGTCCCCAAGATGGAGCCTGGAGTTCCCGCGTCAGGGTCCAGATCATCAGAGACAGGCTCTAGCTCTTCATAGCCGGGGTCCACGTCTTCAGAGACAGAGTTGAGGTCCTCCAGGTCGGGCTCTGGGTCTTCGGGCCCGGGGTCCAGGTCTTCTGAGTCTGAGCCAAGCTCTTCGTAAGCAGGCCTCGGGCCTTTGTGGCCTGGGTTCCTGACCAGCACCGAGCGCCGCATCCCAGCTGTGGAGGTGCCAGCTGCTTCCAGGGCAGGATCTGCAGGGCGAGGACAGGGTGGGCAGAGGTAGGTTCTGGGGAGCAGGGGGTCTCTTTTAGAGCCTGGGCAGGGATGGGATAGGTGGCCAAGCTGTGCCCCCAAACCCACTTCTGAGCATACACACGGATCCTTCTTGTTCTATGCCGCAGGCAGATTGTGACTCGCCCTGGCCGGGGCCAGAAGAGACCCTGGTGGGACATGAGGGGCCCCTCCCTTCTCGGCCCCACACCTGGATGGAAGTCATGGGATCTGGCACTAGAGGCCTCCAGTGCCCAACTCCATGGCTCTGCCCCTCTCTCCATCCTGGACTCCTCTGTGGGAAGCTTGGGTCCTGTAGAGAGAGAGTCCTGGGTTCCTACCCCTCGTGGGGAAGAGGGTGGGTGTCCGGGATCCTGTGCTTGCTTCTAAGTACACGGCCTGAATTCTTGTCCCACAGTCAGAGGGGGCACATTTGGGAGTTTCTGGTGGAGTGGGGGACCTCTGGCTCAAGTACTAGAGATAAAGCATCCTGAACTTAGAAGCCTGTATCTGGGGGATGAAGGGGGGGGGTGCAAACATCTGGTAGTGCTCTGGGGGCCTTGGGGGAGTGCAGGGGACCGCGCTCACTTCCCGGGGAAGAGACCACCGAATGCCAAGCCTCACAGTTCCGGAGCACCTGTGTTCTGTGTTCCCGAACGCCGGCTCCTAAAGCTGGCAGGTGGGGAACACCCTGTGGGCCCGTGGGATGGGGGAGACCATAGAGCCCAAAGTCGGGGCACCTGTTGCCCGACTGGATAGAAGATTCTGAATTCTAACCCCTAGCTGGGGGCTGGGCAGAAACAATACCCGTGGCCCCTCTGGGTGACTGGGGGACCCCTGAGCCAACTCCCAGGAGGAAGAGGCTCCTGAGTGCCCGGCGGTATGGCTGGGGTGTGGGGAAGTGTGTCAGGACACTTTTGTCCCTTCGGGGAGGAAAGATCCATAGGGAAAGGGGTGGAGAAACAACAGCAGGGACCCTGCTGGGAGCAGGGGGAGCTCGGGGTGACCTGGTGGGAGGTGATGCCTTACGATACCCACCCATGGCTGGGTATTGGGGGAACCTCTCCTGGGGAGGGAGACATCCTGGCCATAACCCATAGCTAGGGGTGGGTAAACAAGTGGGGTGCAGAGTTCCTGGATCACCCCCCTCTACTCAGAGCCCCAGGTGGGAAGGTGGGGGGACAACGCCCAGGTCCCTCCTGGGTTCCTGGATCACCTCCCCGGGAAGTGGCTTCCGACGCTGGGCTCCCAGCCTGGAGAGTGAGGAACAATAACCGGGTCCCCTCGATGGGAAGGGCCGGCAGAACTCCCCGCCCGGGCCGGGGCGGGAGAACAATGCCTGGGCCCGGCTGGGTTTCGGGGCAGAGGGTCCGGATCGCCTCGGGAGGAGGGGCGCCCTGAACTCCCGGCCCACAGCGGGGC